GCAGCACTCAGCAATGTTCCAGCTATGTGGCGGGTTGTCAAGTCAGCCTCAATGTAGCTACATGACTATTATATATAGAACGTCACTGCAAAAGAATACCCAGTCTTGACTATCCTCAGAAACATATTCCCTTTAGTGTAAAGTGAAAAATAGCTGTGAAAATAATATGCATGGATCACTAAAAATCAGTGATGACACCAGGTGTTCACAAAAAGGGAAAGCATGTCCCGAAAGCTAAGGTCCATCTAGCGCAAACAAGATCTGAAAGGTTCAGGTCCACTTGAAATACATTAAGCCGAAAACCACTGAAACTGCTGATACGTTACCGCCTCCAAATTGAAACCGGTCGACATATTAATCAACCCAGATCAAATAGATTATGTTTTGTATGTAATGATAACTTTATTGAAAATGAATTTCTTTTTATTTTGGTATGTGAATGTTATCAAAATCTGAGATGTTTGTATTTACCACATAATTTATATTCGAATCCCACTATTCATAAGTTTAATATGCTCATGTCAACTGGCAATCCATATATTGTAAATAACCTAGCTCTTTATATACACAATGCAATGAAACTTAGAGATTCACTTCTTTGCCAATAATATCATATTTCCTTTTGTATATTTTGTAAATTAACTTGGGCCTGGGCCTATGGCCTCCACTACAAAGACAATAAAGATTGATTGATTGATTGACACTAAAATGTGTTTTCGATCTCTGAGGACAAAAATAAACTCGCCAAATATACATTAAACTGTACTCACATCGGCTGGCAGCGGGGCTGGATCTGAGTCAATGAAGCAGGTATCGTTACCCGCAATCTTAAACACACGGCGGCCCTGTGGACATTGTTGGACAAAAACATGAAACTAGTGTAAGGACGTGTTTAATCCATGTTCTATTACTTTATTACCCTTACAGCAAATTTACATTTATATCGAAAATAACAAATATTTAAATTTGTATCCGTTCCATTGATACAAATATGGCTAACACTCGCCAAAACCTTCCCATGAGACTGGTGATAAGGCCAACAAAGATTTTCATACCACCCAATTCAGCCTTCATTTTGGGCTTTTGGGCTTTAATTTTGTGCATATTTGGGCACTTGTTCAAATAGAATCATTGAATATAAGAAAACTGAGAAACTGTTGTATCGAACGAAAAAAAATTCTAAATATTTATTTTTACAATAACAATAAATGCTAAATCTGTTAATCGGTTATCTAAAAAAAATATCGATATAAAATGAACTATATTTCCATTCTACCACCAACCGTAAAGCAATATTTTGAAAGATCCGTAAACCTCAATTATGAGGAGCTTAACCGTGTAAGACATCCTGATCGAGTAAATGCTGATAAATAAACAAGTTACCTTTACGTCAACACCGACGAAGACGTTGTCGGCCTCCCCAGCTACTGACGACACACCTGTCCCATCCTCACAGTCCTCCTCCACCATGGCACCATTGTCCATCTTCTCACACTGACCACATAATTCACAAGAAAACACTGATGAGAATGACGCTAGACAGGCCAGTTACCAACGTCAACTGGTTTAACATGGTATAATAATGCCACGGTTTAAGAGAAACTATACCAGTTATTGCCGTCAAACAACAACAAAGTTTCTTCTCAAAAGAAGCTAACCAATTTAATTGTAAAGCCCTCTTAAATGCGCAAATCATTTTTAGTGTATATGCAAGTGCTTTTGGCCTCGGGGCATGTAAACAAACTACACCTAACTTGTCTCGAATGAATGATTTCATTACACCAAAGGGTCATTACGAAAAATATCATCTTTTTGTCAGTAGTTAAACATACTTTTCTTCCAATTAATATCAGATGTTTAGTATATACCTACATATTAATATCAAATATTTATTCATGATATTTAGAAACTTTTATAAAATATACAGCATAGGTAAACTCATGCCAATTGTTCGTGTTAAACTATATTTGAAAGAACTTACTCACCAAGAAAACTTAAATATATTGAAGCATGTGATCACACCCCTGATGTCCCATATGAGAATACTATTTCCTGGTCAACGTGAAAATTGGAAACAAAGTTGAACTCATGTCATTTTGTCAGTTCTCTAAAATAGTTTTGTTCAAATTAATGCCAACTTATTAGTATATATTTATATTTTGGACAAATATTTATCCATGTTGTTGAGAAACATTTTTGTTGAGAAACAGCATGTTGAGTCACTTTTAACTTGAAACATGACTTAGTTTTGAATTTAGTTGTTTAATGCTGAACGTATATTCGTATATGTTTACACAGCATTTGGCAAACCCATGTCAATGGGGTGCATTTAACAAAATTTGAAAACAAAATAAAGATTTAACATGTGATCCAAATCGTGACAATGCATTCGAAATGTTTACGTCTGGACATGTTTCTTATTGCTAAAATAGTGATGAAATATGACTTATTTTTTTCATTTCGTTGTTTAACACCGAACAATATTATGCCGAAACTATTAAGGATGTAGCTACCATGCAGTCTCACTGTCACTATGAAAAGAAACAGATAGGAGGGGTCGTCTCAAAAGCAAAACATGGGGTCGGGCTTGGGGATAGAGATATCAGCTAAGATAAGATAATCCTTTAGGGCAATTATACTGGGGAGGTACACGGCACGTCATAACAATTTACAAATAATATCCAGTACTGTCGATCTTCGGGTGGTCATGCCACCTATATACTACGATGCGTTTCTATGGTTTTCGGGTATCATACTCTTTTATATATCTCAACATAAACTATATGAAACTATATGAAAGAAAGACACGTTAGATGTTAATCAACAGATGAAGCATAGTCAACACACATGCAAAAGCACAACATATCTTTGAGATGACACCTTGTGCCTGTAGGCAGCACGTGCATTTCATGCCAGGTGGGTCGACGGTCCGTCGTCATACCTGGCTGAGCGACCTAATTGCCATCTATAGTCTGACCTATTGTATTCAGCAGCTATTCAGTTTTTTTCTAAGTTTTGCCCGATTTTACGAGTAAACATCCTTTTCTGGATATCGTATTACGCATCCCACTGAACGCCCAGTTAGGCCGATGTGGGTTATTTCGACATATGCTATTTGCAATTGTGTAAATTTTAGGGATACAGAGTAACAGCCTAAAAACAGTGTTTTTCTATTTCCGACAGTACTATAGTATCTGTACAAAAACTAAACACTAAAACACGACACAAAAACAACCCACTATAACGAAAAGGATCCAAAACAAAAGCCAACGGTTACTTACTTTCTTCACTAGAGGGGTTGAATAGCCAAATGCGCAGAAGCACAGGACCAGTGCAAGAACAAATGTTACCTGGAAAATATAAAACAGCCAATTAAAGTAAAAACAATATAATATAAATACATACTAACATTTGTATAGCGCCGATATCCAGCTCAGCTCAGCTGCTCAAAGACGAAATGGGACACAAGTGATTCTACTACCAGCTAGACATGCGAGGGTCGTTCAAAAAGTAGTCGGCCTAACTGTATTCTCGATGTCTAATGTTTGAAAAGCTTCCAGTAGATTTTGAAGGAATCATTAGCAAAGCCATATCCAAAATTTCACATATGCGGGTAATGTGGTTAAGGAGAAATTAGTTATCACAACCCATGTGGGTATAATATTTCAAAAAGAAAATACAGAAAATGAAAAACGAGCTGTCATTTGGTACCTGTTGGATAATGGTATGCCCTCAGATAATATTTTATAAAATATATTCAGTATAGTATTGGATGACTTCCCGTCATATTCAACATTCAAAGATTAGGATTGCCTGATTTATATTTAGACAGGGGCTGTTTTTTTAAGGCCGTCCCCTTTTTAATCTGTCAAAAACATTGTGTCCAGATATTCAAGCTGGCACTGTTTACAATATATTGTGAGCTGACACGTGTGTGACCATTCAGTATTTAGTTTGAATCCTTGACATCGTGTATGAATAAGTGAAAACATTAGAATAAGTTATGTCCTTATGATTACCTACTCTGAACGGGGCTGGGTAGTGTCTCCAAAACAAGCTCTTTCAGTAAACATGAAGGGGAGAGTCACTTTAACAAGCGATTGCAGTTTCAGATTGCTTGTTTATGCACTTTAATATCTAAATTTGATTCTAGCGGTTTTATACCTATCTCAAACACACAAAATGTGTCTTGCATATTTTGTTTCTTGAAGTTTGTGATGCATTCATTGCAGATTTTTGCGTTTTGGGGGGTACCAAGATAAAAAGTAAAACAAAATTGGGATCTTGCGGCTGGAACATAGCAAAACCAATTTGCTTGAGATTGACAGATAATACGTAGAAAATTAAAACATAAAAACAGCTGAATTTGTATCATTTTCTAGGTAAGGCCGACTACCTTTTGAACGACCCTCGTATACCACATTTAATTACATTCTGAACAAAAATTAGTATGCAATCTGTCGTAAATTGTATTGGGATGTTTCAGTTCCAGGAAATGCATATTGAAAGAATTTGAGACTATGGCTAGAAATGCAAAAGTCAAATTTAGGTAAAAATTTAGAAAAATACAATATTACGATAAACTGAACATGTGTGCTGAGCCTCATGGCAGATTAGACAGTATGGTATTCTATAACAGACTGAAAATAGATTGCCTAATCAAGGAAAGAGTATTTTCTGTTTTCAGTGTAGTCGGAGATCCCTGATGAAATCAAGCTAAAGATAAAATTATCGTATAAAACGGAAATGTTGTAGATCCCTTGGAACAAGTAATTCTTTACATTTGGATTAAATAGTCATTATGCATCAGTTATACTTATAACTAGGTGTTTCCTAGGTGAGATAAAGAATAATTAACGACGACGATGGCAAGGTGAGCTAAAGATTACTGGGCGTTGACAACTACTGAAGATGACTTGTGACCTGCGACGACATAAGTCACCCGAGTAAAAAGAAAGTTTAATCCCAACACAAAAAATGCAATTCAAAATGTTACTTACTTTGACGCCCATGGTCTTCAGATTTCAGATGCTGAGTTGACAACTTCGGTTTCTTTATGTCAGTTCAGGATCACGCTTCCGTTGATTCTGTCCTCAGTCAAGATTTAAGCCACATTTTATACATTTGGTGAGTCGGAGCTAAACCAATCAAACACTCTGATTGCACAAGTAAAAATTCCCCGAACTTTTTTCTTACGCAATTCTTCTTGAGCTTGAAACAGGATTGAAGGTTGCCACGGCTTTGTTGACGAATGTGTGTCACATATCGCAGTGTTGATAACTTGTTGAATATTCATATACATTCGGGGAGCCTTAGTTAAGCCAATCAAAAACTATTTGCACATGTAGAAAATCCCCTAAAATATTTTGCACTAACACTTCTTTGTTGAAATGGAAAATCACCATATTTGTTCTACACGGAGTTCTCCAAGCAAGGTAGTGAAATGCCATTATAATCTAAAGCTGATCATTTTAAATGATATTGCAGATTTTTTTAACAATGTCCTTGAAACTCAATCCTCAGCATTTAGTTTTAATATTTGTTTTATTTGGCATGTTTATTTCATTGATGAAACGTGGAAATGGTGTCCAATACCAACTGTGAAGTTAATGAAAGCATAGTGTTCATTAAAGGGATACTTCAAAATACATTGTCGCAGAAGTTTTTTAACCGAATTCTGGTATTTTTTATTTAACCCTTAACATTCAAAAGTTTATGAAATCAGAAAATTGGAACTTTTGTCTGCTAGAGAAAGTATAGACACGACACAGCGTTAAGCTCCAACGGTGTGTTGGAATCTGATGTTGACGGGTTCGAATCCCGACAAGAATATGATCCTTCCTTTATTACAAGTTTCGATTTAGCCTTAAATACCTCGAGTAAAATGCTTTTGAGAACAGAGTTAAATGTACTGTCTTGCACAGTACTCCTTCAGTATGGCGTCCGTCATTATATATCTCACCCTCACTCACTCTCTCACACACACGGGTGCACGAACAGTCAGTCATACACCCTCCTTACGCTCCATCACAATTTATACACTGGAAATAATAAGGAGAATATGAAGCAAAGTAAGGGGACGTTGTAAGTAAAAAGTTTCGACTAAACTTAAATATTTCGTGAAAAAATACTTTTGAGTTAAATTACTGTCTTACACAGTACTCCTGCAATATGAGTGAGTGAGTATAGTTTTGCGCCGCTTTTAGCAATATTCCAGCAATATCACGGCGAGGGACACCAGAAATGGGCTCAACACATTGTACCCATGTGGGGAATCGAACCCAGGCCTTCGGCGTGACGAGTGGACGCTTTAACCACTAGGCTACCCCACCGCCCCTGCAATATGACGTTAGTCATTATCACTCTCTCTCTCACACACACACACATACACACATAAATAAGGAGAATGTCAAGCAAAGTAAGGAGACATTGACGTGCACACACATCGAAGCGCGATTTTGAGTAATGTATTCAAATTGCGAAATCGGCATAATGAAATCTGAAATGTATAGAAAAAAACTTGCAATCCTCTACAGCTTTGATGGGTTACAATATGGTGTTTGATATAGGTAAGATGAAAAACACAGCACAACGGTCTCAACTTTCTGATTTAAAATTTTAAAACTATTATTCCGAAAGTTAAATGTGCACCTAACCGAACAAAACGGTTGTGAGTTATACATGTAGTTATGACAAATGTGAATTCGTTTTATGGTCAGACTATACTCGTTATATGCACTTTCACAGGTTTCTACAAAATAAACACATCTGTGACATATGTGATCTGAATGACGTCAGTGTAATGACACGCGCACGCGCACGCGCACACACACACGCGTACACAGGTACTTGTACACATACGCACGCGTACTCAAGCACGAAAACAAATACACAAGCACACACACAAGTACACAAGCACACATACAAGTACACCAGCACACGCACACATACAAACACACACACACTTTCACGCTCTCTCTCTCACACACATACACAAACTATACGCATGCACGCACGCACGTAAGCATGCACGTACGCACGCAAAATAACTTCGTCGAGTGTAACCTTACCACGGGATAATTAACGCTAAGTGTATGAAATGGTGTTGATAAGTGTTTATTGAAAAATACAATTCATGATGATATGACGAAATATGCCACACAAAAAAATAGAAAACATTTCATCTGAACGCTTCATACGTTATATCAAAATGAAGTACAACTATCTCACACTCAATATTTCAACATTCTACTTTAAGCGGAGTGGTTTGTTTTTTTAATCTTTTCATCATAAACGCACCCAGAGTCCACTCGGTGAACAAGACATAAAACGGGTTTAAAAATATACGCTTTCTGCTTAAAAGAGATGGGTTCTAGGAAAAGCCAGCAATACAAGATTTAGGTCAAAGAGTATGTACATATTGTTGTTTCATGTTAAGCGTACAGTGGAAAACTACCCCGGGTAAAAAGACACTGAAGGCACCCACCGGTATCTGTTTTTTTGCTTCCGGGTTCAGCGTTTGTCTCTGTCATACATATTTGTCAACAATCCACTATATATAGTGACTATATTTGTGGACTAGGCTAACTGCCTGTCAAACACATTTTGCTAAAGAGTCATATTGGGAAATCTTCCGCCGTGTTTCACAGTTTTGCATTAAACTGCAGTTAAACGTATCTAACGTTTTATATATAAAGGTTTAAACACATATAGTTAAAACATGTGTATCTATCAGCATTACATTACCGTCATGAAAACATACAAACAATAACGGGATTCCTTTATTCGTCATGTTTAGTGTAAGATCAGAATATAGTGTAGTTTGGATAGTGAGTTGGTTTCATTGCAACTGTGAACAATATTCCAGTTATATTAGGGCTTATAATTAAGGAACACACAAAGGTATAGACAAAACATGTATCTACAAGCACTACAACATAGCCATTGAACATACATACACATGTACCCTAACGGAATATTTGTATTCCTGATGTTTAGCGTGTATGTATATACTGGAATATGTTGTACTATGAGTGAGCTGGTTTCAGTTATATTATGGCTTATAATTATGTAAGGGTTTGTAATTAAGGAACACACAAAGGTACAGACAAAACGTGTATCTATAAGCCCAACAGCACCGTCATGAAAACATACAAACCATAACGGCATTCCTTCATTCCTAATGTATCGCTGACAGGTTTTTAAAATTTATTTTCAATTACTATAAATCCATATTTTGATTTAGTCACGATATGGCTGAAATAATGCCGATGTGACTGAACATATTATTTCACTTAACTCACTCATTTCTAATGTTTATGTATGAGATTTCACTATTGGAATATGGTGTACCATGAGTGAGTTGCTTCCAACGCAACTGTGAACATTATTCCAGTTACATTAGGGCCTATAATTATGGACCACACAGAAGCATAGACAAAACATGTATCTACACGCACAACACTACCGTAATGAAAACATACATACCCTCACGGGATTCCTTTGTCCCAAATGTTAGGTGTATGGGTTTTTACTATTAGAATATTGTGTACTATGAGTGAATTGTTTTAATGTAGCTGTAAACATTATTCCTTGTATATCACGGTTTATAAGTAAAGTGAAATAAGCGTGTGGAGTATTGTGGAGGACTTGGTCAGATGATCCTTGAAAAGTAATTGAGTATGCAATTCTACTCAACGAATGGCCGAAATAAATCAGCAGTCTGGCAAGTTATAATATGTATAAAATAGTAATTTAGAGATACATTATATAACATGCTGTCACGCCTGAGGAATGTAAGTCTGCACTGTAGGGCTGGGACGGATCCACCTTTTCTACCCGGGTACCCCACCCCCTATTACCCTACCCTACACGGATACCCGTTATGTTAATTCCTGACATCAAATTTACAACAAATGGCAATATATTCTTCAGCTCGGAGGCTAAAATTTCTAGTTTTTCAATATCTTAACCATGTACATGAATTATATTAAAAAAGTGACTGTAAATTATGGCTAAATCTTCAAAGACAATACAACCTATTAATCATGAAAGAATAACATATTACATTTACTATTATTCACATGAGCATAACGGGTCCGGGTATTGAGACGGGCTTCCGGGTCCAACTCATTACCCACCCCTCCCGGGTATCTCTGGTTACCCGTCCTAGCCCTACTGCAGGACTCATAGCGGTTCGGACCACTGGGTCAACCGTACCCAACACTGACCGTGGCCGTAATGGTGACCGTACCCGTGACTGGGGAATCCATACGCTGCACACAGTGAACTCATCATTACTGGACATGTCACTTGACATTTTCATTCTATGACCTGTCGAGAAACGGGTTAAAAGCTGTTCGTCAGCAACCCATGCTTGTCGTAAGAGGCGACTATGGCATTCGATGGTCAGGCTCGTTGAATTGGTTGACACATGCCATGGCAGCTCAACTGCGTTGATCGAAGTTCAGTATGTTGATCACTGGATTGTGGCCAACGTCATTATCATTTACATATAGCTGGAATATTGCTGAGTGCGGCGTTCAACAACAAACGAACTCTCATTTAATGGACATATATTTTCGGTTTAAGGAAATTTCTTGTGTAAGATTCAATATTCGACTCCTGAAAAGTGGTCGTTTAATAAACAGAGGTCCTCGTTGTGGTCATTTTGTATGGAAACAAGTGGGCATACCTATAACAGTGTTGATCAGTGGGACTTATTTCATAGGGTATTGTAAATATCCTTCAAACAAGTCCAACGAGTGCTGACACTGTTATTTTCCAGCTGTTTTTGTACAGGTGGTTTGTGTGTCTACTCAGGGCGTTAGTTATGCATCGTTGGTGCTATTGACAGTCTCTTTGTGTCACCAACTGAATCACGTTCAGAATAAAGTTCTATTTGAAAAGGATTTCTTAAAAATCAGTCATTGTACATTCATAAGAAATTGAAGCAATATATACTTCCTTTCAAAAGTTTAGAGTCACTAGTGTAAATAGAGCCACTTACTTCAGGCAATTTGCGAATTATTAACAAAACTTTACACTAAAACGCAGTTGTTCACATGCACGATATTTGTACATGCTTTTCAGCAATTCGATGCCTGATCCTCGAGCAATTCATCAGCATAAGGTTTGCAGTTGGTTCCCCCAACTTAGTGGAGAAATCAATCTTCGATTTAACAATATATATGTACATAACATATAGTGAGCGTTTTAAGTGAGTCTAAACTTTTGAAAGGAAGTATATATTCGCGATACTCTTCAACGAAACCCAATTATTTTGAAAATGGCACACGTAACATTTTAGATGTTACAGAAATAAATATTCTAGAGCTTTTGTTGGGTTGAGGATGGCTGTGGTGGCGATTAGATGCCTGACTTAGAGTGAGGGTACGAATCCCGGATGAGACTCGACCTGATACGTACTTGAATCTGTTCTTTATTGAGAAAGAGTAATCTCAAATACAACATAGTTATGTTACATATAACTGATTTGGTTTACCGTTTTTCCTCTAATAAGTACCGGAGCGTATTGGAGGCCGCCGCTTAAATTTTCAACGGAAATAAATATAGATTCTCTATTGGTATTTCATTTGCAAACGCCATTGCGAATAAGTGGCACACTCGGTGGTGATTAGGGACCCTGCGCTTAGTGGAGACCCGACGCTAAATAGAGACCCTGCGCTTGTTGGAGACCCGGCGCTCATTTCTTGAACAGTTGCTTTACCCCGGCCCTAAAAGAGACCCTGCGCTTGTTGGAGACCCGGCGCTCATTTCTTGAACAGTTGCTTTACCCCCGGCCCTTAAAAGAGACCCTGCGCTTGTTGGAGACCCGGCGTTCATTTCTTGAACAGTTGCTTTACCCATGGCCCTGATTAGCGATCCTGCGCTTGTTGGAGACCCGGCGCTCATTTCTTGAACAGTTGCTTTACCCCTGGCCCTTATTAGAGGCCTTGCACTTGTTGGAGACCCTGGCGCTCATTTCTTGAACAGTTGCTTTACCCGCGTACCTTAAAAGAGACCCTGCGCTTGTTGGAGACCCGGCGCTCATTTCTTGAACAGTTGCTTTATCCCCGGCCCTGATTAGAGACCCTGCGCTTGTTGGAGACCCGGCGCTCATTTCTTGAACAGTTGCTTTAACCATGGCCCTGATTAGAGATACTGCGCTTGTTGGAGACCCGGCGCTCATTTCTTGAACAGTTGCTTTACCCCGGCCCTGATTAGAGACCTTGCGCTTGTTGGAGACCCGGCGCTCATTTCTTGAACAGTTGCTTTACACACGGCCCTTAAAAGAGACCCTGCGCTTGTTGGAGACCCGGCGCTCATTTCTTGAACAGTTGCTTTACCCCTGGCCCTGATTAGAGACCCTGCGCTTGTTGGAGACCCGGCGCTCATTTCTTGAACAGTTGCTTTACCCCTGGCCCTGATTAGAGACCCTGCGCTTGTTGGAGACCCGGCGCTCATTTCTTGAACAGTGGCTTTACCCCCGGCCCTGATTAGAGACCTTGCGCTTGTTGGAGACCCTGCGCTCATTTCTTGAACAGTTGCTTTACCCCTGGCCCTGATTAGAGACCTTGCGCTTGTTGGAGACCCGACGCTCATTTCTCGAACAGTTGCTTTACCCCTGGCCCTTAAAAGAGACCCTGCGCTTGTTGGAGACCCGGCGCTCATTTCTTGAACAGTTGCTGTACCCCTGACCTTTAAAAGAGACCCTGCGCTTGTTGGAGACCCGGCGTTCATTTCTTGAACAGTTGCTTTACTCCCGGCCCTAATTAGAGATCCTGCGCTTGTTGGAGACCCGGCGCTCATTTTTTGAACAGTTGCTTTACCCCAGGCCCTGATTAGAGATCCTGCGCTTGTTGGAGACCCGGCGCTCATTTCTTGAACAGTTGCTTTACCCCCGGCCCTGATTAGAGACCTTGCGCTTGTTGGAGACCCGGCGCTCATTTCTTGAACAGTTGCTTTACCCCTGGCCCTTAAAAGAGACCCTGCGCTTGCTGGAGACCCGGCGCTCATTTCTTGAACAGTTGCTTTACACCCGGCCCTGATTAGAGACCCTGCGCTTGTTGGAGACCCGGCGCTCATTTCTTGGTCAGTTGCTTTACCCCTGGCCCTGATTTGAGACCCTGCGCTTGTTGGAGACCCGGCGCTCATTTCTTGAACAGTTGCTTTACCCCTGGACCTGATTAGAGACCCTGCGCTTGTTGGAGTCCCGGCGCTCATTTCTTGAACAGTTGCTTTACCCCCGGCCCTTAAAAGAGACCCTGCGCTTGTTGGAGACCCTGCGCTCATTTCCTGAACAGTTGCTTTACCCCTGGCCCTAATTATAGACCCTACGCTTGTTGGAGACCCGGCGTTCATTTCTTGAACAGTTGCTTTACCCCCGGCCCTTAAAAGAGACCCTGCTCTTGTTGGAGACCCGGCGCTCATTTCTTGAACAGTTGCTTTTACCACCTGCCCTTGAAAAGGGACCTGCGCTTGCTGGAGACCCGGCACTCATTTTTGAACAGTTGCTTTACCCCGGCCCTGATTAGAGATCCTGCGCTTGTTGGAGACCCGGCGCTCATTTCTTGAACAGTTGCTTTATCCCCGGCCCTTAAAAGAGACCCTGCTGCTTGTTGGAGACCCGGCGCTCATTTCTTGAACAGGTGCTTTTACCACCTGCCCTTAAAGGGACCCTGCGCTTGATGGAGACCCGGCACTCATTTTTTGAACAGTTGCTTTACCCCCTGCCCTGATTAGAGATCCTGCGCTTGTTGGAGACCCGGCGCTCATTTCTTGAACAGTTGCTTTACCCCTGCACCTGATTAGAGACCTTGCGCTTGTTGGAGACCCGGCGCTCATTTCTTGAACAGTTGCTTTATCCATGGCCTGATTAGAGACCCTGCGCTTGTTGGAGACCCGGCGCTCATTTCTTGAACAGTTGCTTTACCCCTGGCCCTGATTAGAGACCCTGCGCTTGTTGGAGACCCGGCGTTCATTTCTTGAACAGTGGCTTTACCCCCGGCCCTGATTAGAGACCTTGCGCTTGTTGGAGACCCGGCGCTCATTTCTTGGTCAGTTGCTTTACCCCCGGCCCTTAAAACAGACCCTGTGCTTGTTGGAGACCCGGCACTCATTTTGTGAACTTTTGCTTTACCCCCGGCACTCAAAAGAGACCCTGCGCTTGTTGGAGACCCGGCGCTCATTTCTTGAAGAGTGGCTTTACACCCGGCGCTGATTAAAGACCCTGCGCTTGTTGGAGACCCGGCGCTCATTTCTTGAACAGTAGCCTGAGCATCGATCTACGCAGCTGGGATACGATGACACATGTCAACTAAGTAAGTCTGCCCACCCAATCCTGTTAATCGCCTCTTACGACAAGCATGAGTTACTGAAGATCAATTCTAACCGGACTTCACGGGTCCAACTCCAGCCTACATTTGGAATTGCTAACAAAAACAATAAATATTTTGATCTCTAAAAGCAACAACTTTATTCCACAATAGACAAGAAATTTACAGAGATGTCAGTGTTAATTTAAAGACTTAATTCAAAAAATAAAGAATAGTCATAACGGGACAAATTCAGACACCCTGGAACCATAAGAGCGAACACCTGTGAGGATTTTACATGTGATAGTATATACATTTTACATGCTGCTGTTTTTCAGGGTACGTGTTGCGCCTGTGTGATCTAACAGCTAACAGAAACAATACGCAGTGACGATACTCGTCGAAAGAGCGAACGAACGAGCGAACTCGTGTGAGGATTTTTCAGTTACTCAATGTTTTGAAAATACATTTTGTATGTTGATGTTTTCAGGATACACGTTGTGTCCGTGTGTTCTAACATCTGAACAGATAAATTCTGCAGTGACGATACAGACGCCCGTAGTAGATGTAGTATCTGCACACTACTCTGTAGCAGATGGCTCGCTTGTGTCTGTCTGAAACAGAAAGAACAGAGAATGTTTAACCACTTGTCTAGAATAGCGTGCCTCCGTACACAGGGTTAACAGATTCAGATTCTTCTATTCTCCATAGGACCACCAAAGGTGGTGTAAGAGTGAATCACAAGGTATGATAAAATAGTATGGCGAGGGAAGATTTAGGGCTTGTAGCAACCAACAAGAAGCAGCTTCACTCATTGCACCACTGTTGTGGATCTACCTAGGCCTTCAGGTCGACAAGCGAACGGTTTAATCATGACTTATCCACTAGACTTTATTAAACAATAATAATATCTTTACAAAAAACTATACACACAGAGAGACTCACAGACACAGACACAGATATACAAACACTGACAAAGACCGAAACATAATCATTCATTCATTCAGTATTAATACCTCCAGTGACAGCAGTGTCGTCAGCCACGAGGACATAGACGTCGCCTGTGCACCATTCTCTCACACTGTCCAACACAGCTTGGTCAGTCACCAGTACCGGAGTCTTTGTTTGGTCCATTGTGGCCTCTGTCACCTGAGCAGTAAAACAACAGCACTAAGGTACGGTTGTCAAATCAGCCTCAATGCAGTTACATCACTATTAAATATAGAACGGCAGTGCAAAAGAATACCCAGTCTTTACAATGATCAGAATCAATTCCGGTTGGGGTGAAGGGGAAAATAACTTTGAAGATCATTGGAATTGATCACTGCAAATCAGTGATGACAACAGGTGTTCGCGAATAGGGTGAGCATGTTCTGAAAGCCAAGGTCCATTTAATGCCAACAAGATTCAAGTCCACTTAAAATACATCAAGCCGAAAATTGAATTTTGGATCACTGAAACTGCTATTACATTAAACTGTACTCACATCGGCTGGCAGCGGGGCTGGATCTGAGACAATGAAGCAGGTTTCGTTACCCGCCACCTTAAACACACGGCGGCCCTGTGGAAAATGTTGGAAACAGCTTGAAATCAGTTTAAAGCTATGTTTAATATTGATACAAATAGGCTACCGACAGCTAAAAACTTCCCATGGAACTGGTAATTGGCCCAACAAATAATATTCATACCACCAAATTCAGCCTTCATTTGTAACCATTTGGCGTAAATATGAACTCATTGAATATAAGAAATCTGAGAAACTGCATTTATTAGTTAAATATTTATTTCGAGCAAATTAAAATAATATAATTTCTAATTCTGTTCATCGTGTTAACTTATTATATTAACATAATATCGATATAAAATATATAACGAAATATATTTTCATTCTAACACCGACTGTAATACAATATTGTGAAAAATCAGTAAAGCTTAGTTATGAGGAGTTTAACCGTGTAAGACATGCTATCCTGGTCTAGAAATGCTGATAAACAAACAGGTTACCTTTACGTCAACACCGACGAAGACGTTGTCGGCCTCCCCAGCTACTGACGACACACCTGTCCCATCCTCACAGTCCTCCTCCACCAGGGCACCATTGTCCATCTTCTCACACTGACCACATAGTTCACAAGAAAACAGTGATGAGAATGACGCAAGACAGGCCAGTCACCAACTGATTTAAGATGTTATACTAAAGCCACAACAGTATTCCGCTGACCACCTGATCCATTTAGTCAACTCGTTCGGCAGGTCATTTTCACATTTATTTCGACATTACTGACATCTTCAATTGCTTTGGAGATATCTTGAATTGAATTAGAGGCATCTAAAATTGTATTGAACATGTCTTCAATTCTGACTGTTACAGATTAATTGAAGACATCATTTATACATTGCAAGATATTTCATGTACTCCCTACCAATGAGAAACTATATCAGTTATTGCCATCACACAATAACAGAGGTGCTTCTCAAATGAAGCTTCATAGTTTAATTGTAAACCCTCTTAGCTGCGCAAATAATTTTTTGTGGATATGTGAATAGTTTGGCCAAATGGTTTTGGTTTTAATACCAAATTATTAGTATACATTTATATTTTGGACATATGTTGATAACAAACGTTTTGTGTTGAGAAACAGTATTGGCAAATCATGGTGTCCCACTGACAGTGTATTCGCAATGTTTATATCTGGCCCTGATTGTCACTTTCAACTTAGCGATGCAACATGACTTTTGAATTTAGTTGTTTAATGTCGAACGATGTTCCAGTTAAAAAGCATCTCCTAGAAATAACCGAATCAAACTGACTGGACTGAGTTTTACACCCCTTACAGTCATCATGGATCTAACCCAGGCCTTCAGTTTGACAAGCGAACAGATTTACCACTTGGCTAACTAAGAACCTTCATCAAACATCAATACTACCTGTACAAAACACAAACAAAACACACTCACTAAAACACATTACAAAACCAACAACAGCGAAGATTACAACACACCATTACAAAAAAAAAAGAACAACAAAAAAAATCAACCAAAACAAAAGCCAACGATTACTTACTTTCTTCACTACGGGAGTTGAATAGCCAAATGCGCAGAAGCACAGGACCAGTGCAAGGACAAATGAAACCTAGAAAATATAAAACAGCAAACTAAATTATATATGATATAATATAAACGTGATACGGGCGATTCCACTACTAGCTAGACATATACCAAATTTTATTACATTCTGAGCAAAAATCAAGAGTGCAAGGGTTTAAATGTCATTTGGGATACATTGTCAAGTTTCAGGTCCAGGAAATGCATGTTGAAGAATTTGAGAGTAAGGCCAAAAATGCAAAAGTCAGATTTAGGTAATTACAAAAAATAAAGTATCACGATAAACGATGAGCCTCGTGACAGATTAGACATTATCGAATTCTAAAACATATTGAAATAAATTGCCTAATTGAGGAAAGAGTATTTTCTGTTTTCAGTGTAGTCGGAAATTCGTGATGAAATCAAGCTAAAGATAAAATTATCGCATAAAACGGAAAGGTTGTAGATCCCTTAGAATACTGGCATTAGGATTAGGATTAAATAAGTCTCTGTTATGGTCAATAGTATGTGTTTGTTAGGTGAGCTAAAGATTAATTTACGACGACGACGGATGGCAAGGTGAGCTAAAGATTAATGGATGTCGGCAACGATGGCAAATGATGTGAGCTAAACCAATCAAAGACCTGATTGCACAAGTAAAAATTCCCCGAAATATTTTCTTACGCAATTTTGCTTGAGTTTGAACCAGGATTGAACCTTATAGTTAACGGGTCCCATTACACAATATTGATGACTTGGTGATTATACCTATACATTTGAGTTAAGCCAACAAAAGACTGTTCGCACAAATAGAAATCCCATAAATGTTTATTGCACTATCACTGCTTTGTCCAAATGGAAAATCAACTCGTTTTTGTGTTCAAGGATATCCTGCAAGACAGCAACGTGCACACGTGCACACGTGCGCGATCACAATCTAAAGCTGTTCTGTAAATGGCATTGCAGATTGTCTTTAACAATGTCCTTGAAATTCAATCCTCAGCATTAGTTATAATATTTGTTTTATTAGGCGTATTCATTCAACGTCATTAAGAATTTCAAGAAAATTGTTTATTATAGGATATTTATATAGCGCACATATACAGGAAAATAGTACATGCTCAAGGTGTTGGTATTTTTCCCCTCGATCATTGGATGTCAGTCTCAACTGCACATCGTATTATCAATCTCAACTGCCAGGGGAGTATAAAACTAGTACAGCCTCTAGGCGCACCGAGTTATTGCGGCTTTCCCATCCTTACGAGGTACCCATTTACAGCTGGGTGGACTGGGACACATAGTCACAGTACTTTGTCACCATTTACTGCACGTTGCTGTACGCGCAACTAGGTGTTTGCACGTATTCCTGTGGCCATCATGTGGCCACCATCTGGTCATATACCAACTGATTCGTGGGTTCTTTTAAGTGCACAGGGTTGTGTACTGTACACTAGGGGTTGTGACAACACTGAAAGACAAAGTTGACTCCCAGGTTTTTACACCCGGTCACAGGTAGGTTCGATCCCAGCACCTTAAGCTCGCTGGATCACTAGCCTTGCGCCTTAGACAGCTCGTCCACCATGCCCCCAGTTTAGTATAATTTGTGTGAGATTTCATTTCAGAAATTATTACAAATGCATGACAATAGATATTTCGTCACAGATGTATTATATTGTGTTTTCAGGAGAAACCAGGATATCGCATATTAAACAACAAAATAACTGGTCTATTATTTTGGCGAAGTGTGGAAATTATGCTCAATCCCAACGATGATGGTTACAAGAACCATGGGTTTCATCAAAGGTGTGCTAAAAAATATAGCAGAAGCTTAACTGAACCAAATTCTGTAAAAATTCTGTAAATGTAAAAATTATGAAACAGAAAATTAGAGCTCTTTCTTGTACGAGTCTGACAGTAAATTGTAAACATAATCACACACAGAAGAAAGCCTGGGGTAAGATTCTCCAAAAATGTTAAAGTATTTTAGCTCATGTTCCTGGTTTCACTAAGACACAAGCATTACAATGACACATGTCATCGTATCCCAGTTGCGTAGTTCGATGCTCATGCTTTTGATCACAGGATTGTCTGCTCAGGACTCGATTATTTTCAGACCGCCGCCATATGGCTGGAATATTGTTGAGTGAGGCGTTAAAAATCAACAAACAAAAAACAAGTACCCTACACACTGCAAACAGTGTTTGGTTGTTTTTTAACGCGGTGGGCGGTGGGGTAGCCCAGTGGTTAAAGCGTTCGCTCGTCACGCCGAAGACCCGGCTTCGATACCCCACTGGGGCACACTGTGTGAAGCCCATTTCTGGTGTCCCCCGCCGTGATATTCCTGCAATATTGCTAAAAGCGGCGTCAAACTAAACTCACTCACTCACTTTAGTTCGGTACTCAAGCGATATGACATCAGTCAGAAAATATCGCGTCTGAACTAGGAAAACTAGTGATCGATATCGAGGCCACGACTTCGGGGTAAGGAGCAGTGGGGTAGCCTAGTGGTTAAAGCGTTGGCTCGTCACGCCGAAGACCCGGGTTCGATTCCCCACATGGGCACAATGTGTGAAGCCCATTTCTGGTGTCCCCCGCAGTGATATTGCTGGAATATTGCTAAAACTATACTCACTCCCCGCCGGGGTGCGATGACGCACAAACAACTAAGACACTGAACCTAACCTTCCGATCAATTTGGTCCATAAATCCATAGTTAGGATCGACCTCGACACATAATCGGGACGGTAGGGTAGTTTAGTGGTTAAAGTGTTCGCTCGTCACGCCGAAGATCCGGTTCGATTCCCATGGGTAAACAGCTGGAAGTATGCTGAAAGCGACGTAAATCAATTCTCTGTCACTCGAAACATAATCAGGGGGATTAAAGGTTTCGACAGCATACTGCTCGACCAATTGCGGCGCCACAGACAACTTGGCCAACCATACCTTAAAACTTCCCGTGACAATGACCGTGACCGTGACCGTGACCTTGACCGTACGCGTATACGTACAGAGTGTTCATCATAACTGGACATAACATTCTCATTTAATTAATCCGTGAAGATCTGTCTCTGTAAAAGCCTTGATCGTTGTGGAATAAACTTATATTATATATTGTTTCTTTATATCAGTTCCAAATGTGGGTTTTCAGAGTTGGACCCGGGTAGACCGGTTAGAATTGGTCTTCACCACCCATGCTTGGTGGTCAGACTCGCTGCTTCGGGTGACACATGTCGTATCCCATTTACGTTGATTGATGCTCATGACTTTGATCACTGGATTATCCAGAATCGACTGTTTACACACCGCCGCCATATAGCTGGAATATATTAAACAACAAACAAAATCTGGTCTAATGGACACGTATTTAAATCCTTGAGTAGGTTTAATTATTCGATTCGTGAAAAGTAGTCGTTTAATAAACGGACGTCGTTGTAGTGGTCATTTTGTATGGAAATTTACCCTCTACGAGTGAGCACACCTATAACAGTGTTGATCAATGGGACTTATTTCAAAGGGTATTGTAAATACCGTCAACCAAGTCGAACGAGTGCAGGCGCTGTTATTTTCCAGCTGTGTTTCTATAGGTGGTCTGTGTGTCTATTTAGGGCGTTAGTTATGCACCGTTGGCGCTATTGAAAGTCAGTCTCTGTTTGCCACCATCTACAAAACGTTAACAATACCGTTCTATTTGAATAAGATTTCTGGGAAATCAGTCATTGTATATTCATAAAACATGAAGCAATATTTATTCGAGAAAAGCTTTCAACGAAACCCAGTTACATACTCTTAAAGAAAGTAAGGGACCTTTATTTTTAATTTACGATTGTAAAAATGTTATTATGATGATTGGTGTCTGACGTGAAATTTGCATGTGTACGATTTTCATTTTCAAACCAAAAAGACGGATAGGAACAAACACTAACAACTGTGTGATGCAAAATGATTGTCAAAATTTATTGTCAACAGTGATCTATCGACCCCATACACCCCATGCACGTGTATGGGGCTGCTGCGTTGTGCACCTGCATCCCATGCGTTGTGTTTAGGGGCGGTGATATAGGGAAATGGTGGTACGTTCATAAGATGTCTGTCCTTGGAAAGTTTGTTAACGCATATACTTCCTATCCAAATTGAAATTTCAGGATCCCCTACTTTTTCTAAGAGTGTACTTTGAAAGGGTACAAGTGTATTCTTGACGTTAAAGTTTTGACATGCAACACACGTTATAATTGGGATTATATACTCACGTATTAAATGTGAATATTAGCAGAACATAACTCCAGATTCAAAGACAGGTGAACAGTTAGTATTTTGTCAAGTCACCATGGACAGCAATACAGGCTTCAATGCGGCGGGGCATACTACTCATCAAAGAAGTTAGAAAGTCGTGGTCCATGCTGTCCCAATATCGGACCACCTCTTCTTTCATTTCAGAAATATATGTCAGATTTGTCTTATTGACACTTTCCTTCATAAGTCCCCAAACATTTTCTATTGGATTTAGGTCAGGGCTATAGCTTGGCCAATCTAATAATGTCATATTTTGGGTCCGAAACCAGGCCTGTGAATGCTTTGAACGATGTTTTGGGTCGTTGTCCTGCTGGAAAATCCAAACATTTCCATAGAACACGTGAGCAGATGGACGTAAATGCCCCTCGAGAATATCTGTGTACCGCTCACTGTTCATATTCCCTTCAAATACACAGAGGGGCGTTGCCCCTAACACAGATATGCCACCCCACACGTTAAATTTCGAACTGTACTTTGGGCGCTGATACAAAGGTTTTTCAATTTGTTTGGTCCAGAATTTCAGTGTATTAGAAACAGCCAAACAGAACTTTCATCTGAGAAAATCACATTGTCCCAGTTAAAATTTCTATGCTGTAAGCACCAGTTCAACCTTTGCTCCTTTTGTTCAGGTTTAATGATCGGTGATGGAATTCCTCGACTTTTCTGCCAACCCATTGCATGCAGCTCAGTTCTAATTGTCTCATTACAGACAGCCACAGTTCCTCTATCAATCATATCCAGCCTTAAGTTTCCTAAAC